ATTGCGTGGAGCGAAACTCGACGTTCGCCAGCGGCGAGCCAGCCAGCCGGTCCCCCGGCGAGTATTAGCAGCGCCACCGCCAATCTCAATATGTCCAGTCTGGTGAGTCGTCTCTCTCTCTCTCTCTCCCTCTCTCTCTCTCTCTCTCTCTCTCTCTCTCTCTCTCTCTCTCTCTCTCTCTCGTGTATGTGTGTGTGGGGGAGAGGGGGGAGCGTTCACATTTGTGATGTGGCTTTCGCAGTGAAAGGACATCGCACCTATCCGCATGGGTCACACGGACACCCAGTCTAGCCGCAACACAATGATGCAGCAAAAAAAAAAACAAAACAACAGATAGCCTAGGAATACTGAAAGCCGAAATTAAGCCGATAAATTTAACAACATTATCACCGTTATTTCGAGTGGTATATATTTTAGACGATTTGATGCGATAAATTTTACATTTTATTGGGCATTAAAGACGTGCAAATGTAATGAAAAAATTAAAAGTGCGATAAACCCCATTCCGTAGTTGTAGTAAAATGCAAGAATTGAAGGATGCTATACTCTTCAACGAATGACAATTCATGCGGGAATTTTAACTACCACCTTTTCAGGTAAAATGTAGGCTTCTCATTTCGGACGTTCCTTGAATTTGAAGTCATCGCTCCATTTAAGATAACAGAGATCGACGTCAATAATCTACAGGGTCATAACCCGATTATTCGCGGATTAAATAATACAGTCCGTTAACTTTCGCGACGACATTCATTAATTATAACTTTGATGATCCAAGTAAAATAAAGCAAACACGTAAATTTATTTTATCTCGTCTGCGGCTGAGAGGCCGGGGAGAGTTCAGCCGGCCGCCGGCGCGTGACCCCAGCCCAGCAGGCAGGCCGCGGTCAGGGCGCGGGGCGCGGCGGGACGAGCCGGGGGTGACAAGTACCTCCGAGTAACTATGGGCTATTACGTGCGCCCGCAAGGCACGCCACATGGCGTGGCGAGGGCCTGTCAGGCGCGGCCCGTAAGTAATAGTTCAGTAGCGATGTGGCGGGTGAGGCATATGGGCCAAGACGGGGCGCGCCGCCGGGCCAAGGCTCGGGCCACCCGGCCACCCCGCGGGCAGGGACCGCGGGCAGGCGGGCGGGCGGGATGGAGAGAGGCATTTCGTCATTTCTGGTTTCATGTAGCCAGGGCGTCAGGAGTGGTGCGCGGGCGGGAGCGCGGGCGGGCGCCAGAGATCCACCGAGATTAAGGGCGGGGGTGGCAAGGCACGCGTCTCGCTTGTGAGTGGGCCGGATCCTCCCCGTTGCTGATGGCCGAGCAGCGCTGAGCGTTGTCCACGATGTGCCGGCAGCTCCGCCTAGCGGCCCTCGTGTGAGAGGTGCGCAGAGCTCCGGGCTGGTATCGCCTGGGCCAGAGACACCCCGAACGAGACTACTCCCTCCGCTGAGCGCGCGTCGGCTCGCCTGCAGGCTAGCCTCAGACGGGGTGGTTTCTGGCCGGGCCGGCTCCCAGGCGATACCAAAGCGCTGTGATTGGCTGCCGCTCGGCTGCTCTGCGCACCTCTGACACGAGGGCCGCTAGCTCCGCCTGGGCCGCTGCGCTCGAGCTGCAGCGCGGCTGATGGACGGCCAGGCCGACAGATGACTGCGCACTTTGTCGTCCGGACCCGACCTGCCTCAAGCTCCTCCGCGCCGTCCGGCCGCTCACCCCCGCGCGCTTGCAGGCCTGTCTCTGCCGCGCCCCGCCCCGCCCGGCCCGGCCCCGCCCGGCCAGCAGTCCATCCTGACCTATGCCAACACGGCCCCGCCAGCCTCTCCTCGTCCGGTCAGCGGCGTGGCCCGGCGTGGCCCGGCGTGGCGCGGCGTGGGGTCGCGCACAGATGACAAGGAAGGCTGCGGCGGGGGGTGGCGGTGCAGCGGATAGTGCACCCATGCAGTCAGGCGATATGGCACTAGTTTTCCCGGTGTGCCCGGCTGGGCGCCCGGCCGGCTCTCCGTTGCATAATGGGCAAATAACCCGTGTGGTGGTTGCGAGCGTCCACCACCACCTCGACGGCGTCTCTGACTGGCCGCCTCCACCGGCCGTGGCCTCCCCCCTAGGTTCCCGACGACGCGCCCTCCCCCTCCCCTCCCCCCAGCTCCCCGCGGTGCAGCCTGATGCAGCCCCGCCTGCATCCTCCGCCCCCTACCCCTCCTTCTCCCCCGACTGCCCTGGTAGCGCCACTAGTGCTGGCCACTAGAGGGAGCCTTTATAAAGTGCGACCATCCCCGGAGTGAGCATCAGTTGGCGGGGTCCACCTCCCGTCTACAGCCACAGCCCAAGCTCCAGGATGAGAGTGCTCGCGGTAAGTGGACAGCACCCCGTCGACAACAGCACCTCGCCGACGGCTCGCCGACCGGACCATGTGGATTACGCGGCCCTCAGTGTTGACTACCAGTGCATCACAGTGGACTAAGTGCAGCAGTGAGAGTGCTCCGGAGGTGCGGGGTTCGACGGCGTCCTCGCCAGGACGATCCTGGTTCGGCGCGGCCCTCTGCGGGATGGTACCGAGTGACGTGCTGGTTTGGTCGGGTCCCTCCCTGACTGCAGTTGCCAGGAGCCGCGCTAGCTTGGACCGGCTCCATAAAGTGCAGGGTGCCGTTGTGGCTAGATGTAGGCGCAGGCGCAGTCACGGGCCTCGTACATCGTTACATCGCGGTCCTGCTGGCAGGACAAATTTTAGCAATGCTCAACAAAGGTTCACGTGTCCTATTGTCGTTTTTAACTCAACGTGTGGCAACACACACGACAGGAGTTGCCTCTCGGGTTAGCGCAAGGGCTAGAAAGGGGGTCAACTAGGACGTACCTCCTTTTTTTCCACTCTCCCTCGGCTTCGGACTTGCTCATCAGCGACAAGTCGGTGTCGAAACGCCGGGTGTCCCGCAAAAAAGGGGGTTTGAAGCAGTTCGTTCGGTGTCCGTGGAGGTTTTCGAGCGACCCCGTGCTTAAGGTACGAATACGATATGTGAGGTTGGCGATGCACGGTCTGAAGAAAATCGGCCGATCCAGGCTACGGTGTGAACGCAGTATTGTCTGCATGCCTCGCTGGTCCGTCGGGTCTACCTCACTTCTTCGAACTTCCGTGAGACCGTGAGCTGCATTTTCCCTCTTAACTAGGAAGCTCGCAAGAAACTCTCAGAGGGCCCTCGGGGCCCTTAGCGGGTGTTTGTTGGTATAGTTACAAGATTGATTTCCTAATGGTTCGCTGTAAAGCAAACTGACGCGTGAGTAGCAGTTTTCGCTCTCAGACGGGGTAGATGACACTGACGGCTCGCCGGCAATCTGTGGTGGGCCGCCACGCAAAATGCCGGGCGGCCCCGCGGGCGCACTCCTCGGGGCGGGGCCGGGCGGGACCGCGAGGGGCAGGACGGGCTGAGCGCGGCTCCCCCGGCGGTGAGTCACGAGCGCCTCGCCCGTCCAACCGACCGGCCGACCGAGCGCGGGTGACGTGAAGTTGATTTAGGGATTCGGAAACGCCGTTACAGGGAATGAGTGATAAGGTCCGCCCCCTCGGTGTACCACCCCCTCTCCCGGACAATGAGACCACACGCCCCGACTTGATCCCGACTCGCCGAGGTTCTCACACTGATTTCTTCGGGGTCAGCGCGCGTATTTATCTGTCAATCTTAACTCCCGCGAAACCTCCTGTACTACTCGCTCGCGAGGGAGGAGGTCGGGACAGGCGATGGGAGCCGGAGCTCAAAGAGAAGCGAAACGTAAGACAAGACAAGAGGCTGGCGTCTCTCCCGGAAATCTTTCCATTTCTCGTTGCGATATTCTCTGGAGCCGTTTAGGGCACGCCGCGTCCGCGGCTCGGCGTCGTCGGACAGCCGTTTGGATCATGACGACGTCCCTCGTCCCCTCGGGTTCGACTACTTCTCTATTCCAACGGCGTGGCACGAGATGGGCAGGCTTTAGCCACAGTCAGGTACACCCGGCTTTTCAGGATTTAAGAATGTTTTCATTGATTGAGTCTGGTAAAAAAGTACATTCATCATTTGGGAAAGGGGGTTAGCTGTACCAAAAAAAATAATAGCATGGGCGAATACTAAATTAGCGTACACAGTGCGTGCCTGGCAGTCGACGCAGTTGGCAGACCGGTCCCGAGCTTTGACACACGTTAGGCGCGCGCGCCTCGCCGCGGCAGTGATTCAGACGTCAGGCGGAGACACGCTCCACTCCTATCTGAGCGGGGATTATCCGGCGACCGAGGGGATTCTTGGGCGCACACTTTAACATGCAGTATGTTAAATCGAAACGGAATCAAATCGCGTCGTGACACTCTGCTTGGTGCCGCGGAGCGTGTGTGCCCTGGGCTGCGCCCTGGGCCGCAGTCGCGCGCGCTTCCGGGGTCACGGGGCGCGCAATGCGCCACGGCGAGGATCGCTCTCTCCGCCCTCCCGCGGACTCGCAGGGACCCGATCCGACCCGACCCGACCCCCGGAGGCGACGCGTCCACCTTTCCATCTATTCCTCATCGCCAGCCAGCGCCTTGTGACCCAGCCCCGCCGACACCTGCGCGACTGGTCAGCTGGTGACCTTTTCGTCACCGCAGGGCCCATCTCTGTGCGCCAGCTGGGCCGGGCCGCGGGGCGGGCGGGAGCACTGAGCCCGCCGACCACCCTCCGCTCCCGACTCTGTGACGTCAAGGGGAGAGAGAAGCCACCGCAATCCAAATTCACATTTTTAAATGGAACGCAGAGTCAAATTCTAAAATTTTACTAAAATTCACCCTAATATAATGTAATTTTCTGGCACCTACAACAAAAATTCACGGCAGAAAAAAAGTACACCGGTATTCTATCCTGTGCATGTGCACCCTGTGCGGCTCGCGCCCGGAGACCCACACGCAGGGCGGCGCTGTGCAGGTGGCGCACGCAAGTGTCGCGCCCCCGGGCTGGTCCCCGGGCTGGTCCTGGGCGCGCCTCGAGCCTGACACCTCGCTCGCACCACCAGACCCCACCGCCGGGCGCCAGCGACGACTTGTTCCGCAGAGAATGACTTTCACTCCCGGTGACAGAAGGCATCGGTAGTGTCGGGCCCGTCCCACCGTGGAAGGGTGCCGTGCCGGTGCAGCAGCGTCACTCACCTCCTTCCTCCTTGTGTTGCAGGTGGTCGCCTTGGCGGCCGTTGTCCGCGCCGCCCCTGAGGCGGGCTACGCCTACTCGGCCCCCAGCAGCTCCTACGGCGCTCCCGGTAGAGGGGGCGGAGGCGGCGGCGGCGGCGGCTTTGGAGGCGGCGGCGGCGGGTTCGGCGGCGTCGGAGGCGGATTCGGCGGCGGTGGAGGCGGTTTCGGCGGCGGCGGAGGTGGTTTCGGAGGCGGCGGCGGCGGATTCGGCGGCGGTGGAGGTGGCTTCGGAGGCGGTGGCGGCGGCGGCGGATTTGGAGGCGGCGGCGGCGGTGGAGGCGGAGCTGTAAGTATTTAACTTGATGCACCACATGACATTGGACGCCCCGTCTCATGGCTCGTTCTGTTTCCCCGCAGCTCATCAGCAAACACGTGTACGTGCACGTGGCGCCTGAGGAGCCCGCATCCTCCGTGCAGCAGAGGATAGTCGCGCCCTCGCAGCCCCGCAAGCACTACAAGATCGTCTTCATCAAGGCGCCCACCGCGCCGACACCAACCGGCGCTCAGATCCAGCTGCCCCAGCAGGACGAGGAGAAGACCCTCATTTACGTGCTGTCCAAGAAGGAGGAGGGCCAGGCCGAGATCAACGTGCAGGCGGCAGCACCCACCACACCCACCAAACCCGAAGTCTACTTCATCCGGTACCGGACGCAGAAGGGAGGCGGCGGCGGCGGCGGCGGCGGCGGCGGTGGTGGCGGCGGCGGTGGCGGCGGCGGTGGTGGCGGCGGCGGCGGACTCGGAGGCGGTCTTGGAGGTGGTCTCGGAGGCGGTCTGGGAGGTGGCATCGGAGGTGGCATCGGAGGCGGCATCGGAGGCGGCATCGGAGGCGGCGGTGGTGGCGGCAGCGGAGGCGGCGGCGGCGTCTCGTCGAGCTACGGCGTACCCAGCGCCGGCGGCGGGCCGTACTAGACACCGGCACCTCCCCCTTTCCCCACACCCTCTCTCCCACCTCGTCGTCTCTCAGCATCACCCCACGGATGGCGCGAAACTCACAAGACTGATCGGAATTGTTTCGTATTGCTCATGCCTCTCTTGTTTTTTTATTCACCTAGTCACCTCGGGTACCACCCTTGCACCTTCCCCTCAGTCCAATCTGCATTTTCATCATCATCGCATCGCCATCGACGCTGAAACCATCGTCACTTCACAATCGTCCATCGCGAAGTTCACAACCATCATCAAGCTCCTTAACAAGATCCTGACGACGTCCCTGGAGTCACCAGGGTCCCGACGACAAACGCGGCGCGTCTCAAGTCTCATCCTTAGTCGTAACAATTGTATTATAGTCTCATTTATCATCCTCAAGCAAAGAAAAAACAACGGTGGCAATACATGTATTATTTTTTATAATAATTTATGCTTCTTATTTACCAAACCTCGTTCGACACAAACACATAAACCAACCATTTAAATCAAAATGTGACAAGACAAGCAAAACAAAAGTGCACCAAGTTTTTTGGTCATTAGTAGAAGCAGTAGCCAAAATCATGATTCGTGACAGGCAGCTAATAAAATCGCAAAAGCAATTTCAACTGTTATTGAACGAAGTATTGAACTACTTTGCAGTAATCCGAGGATCCACAAGTCACTTTTGCCCTTAATTCATTACATATGAATTTTAATTGCAAAATAGGTTGATGTGATTTTTGTCACAATTTCAGTTAAGCAGTGATAAACGTCCCAATAGATAAGAACTATAAATTTATAGCTTTGAGCCTTGGCCAGACAAAATTCCCTTTACACCGCGTCGACACACTACCGTTGCAAAACGTACAAGACTTCAGTCTATCTCAAGTTACCGACCGCAGGGAGCCAATGGTGCCAATAATGATTGCGATAAACGTTGTAATCCTCCGACTCGCTGCAGGAAGTCATTCTTATATCATAACGATATCAAATGTAGCAGCGGCGCCACTTATTAACGACGCACCCGTCTATTAGCGGCTACTCTCTCACACGGCGGGCCGTGCCGGCGGCGGGCCGACGGGCCGGGGCTGCTGGCGCCCGCCCAAATGGTCCACGCGGCCCGTGCGATCATCCCGATGGGATGCTGCGAACAAGATGGAGCGCGTGCCT